CCTGATCAACTAGGGGTCAAAATGGGTCCACCAAAGTACATTTTAATATTCAATAAGTCATAATCAAGGGTATGGAGGTGATTGGAGGCTTTGTAGAAAGCTCCAAGGTCAAAATCCATTGGGTGGCAAGTCTAGTGGCATAGGTCGTAAATATTTGAAAGTTTTACAGCCTTTGGAGTTCGATTAAGTTTATGGGGTTAGAGACTTCAGAATGGACTCAAATTCGAAGGGTTACCTCTAGATACATGTCTTATCACTTTGCAAGTGATAGAATTTAAATCAGAGATCATTTAACTATGTTTTGAGGTGTTTGAAAATTCACTGAAAAAACGCTTTCAGGACTTTAACCTTTAGCCTTGGATTTGAGTCTGGATTTGATTGAAGTTTGAATAAAATTGAGATATGGGTTGGCTTAAGGATATGATTGATTTAAAGTCTGGATTCTAGGAGGATCCTAGAGTTTAGAATTATTGGGAAGAATCCTAGGGTCTAGAGTAGATCTTAGGGTCTGGATTAATTTAGAGTCTGAAAGGGTTCTTATCGACCTCATACAAAAATGAGGTCAACAATAAGCATGTCCATTATATCAGTTTCACTTACAATGGGCCTGTAATTTTATTTGTCTCACTATAAGGAACATTTGTCATATTTCTAATTTTAAAGATTCTACGGCATCACAATTGCCACCCCCTCCCAAAAAACTAAAATAATATGGTTTTTAAATGATTTCCCTTTAGCAGACTTAAACACATTATGTTGAGATGTTATTTATAAGTTTTTCTCCCCTAATAACTAAGGTTGGATCTGCCCCCGACAAATGATGCATTATGTGATCATACAAAGGTGGCCATGCAAACTAACTCATTTATAATCCATACAATTTAGCTTAGTTATAGATAATATGTCAAAATGTTTATAAGAGACATTAGAGAAATATAAAGTTTAACATATTAGCTTTGTACAAAGATCTAGAACACAATCAAATAAAAGAGGGTGTAGCGTTCATAAGAGACACCATAGTTTTTAGATGGAAAGCCTTGAAAAGTGGAAAAAACCATAAGGTGTGCCAAGTTTGAATAAATCCAATAGTGTTTCCAGTTAATTACAAATGAGGTCATTCTTGGAAGGAAGGCCTTGTATCATAGTTGCGAGCAACGAAGGTCTAAAAGACTGTACTCGGAAGTGACAATAGGCGGAAGGATCGTAATCGCTGGGTGCCGGAGGTTTGAAGGATCGTAGTCGTTGGGTGACGGAGGGCAAAAATTTAAGTTTGGTGATGGAGGTCAAAAGGATTGTAGTCGGCAGGCGATAGAGGTTAGAAAGACTGAAGTCAGACGATCGAGATTGGAAAGACCATAGTCGATATGCGACAGAGGTTAGAGGGATCGTAGTTGGCAGGTGATAATGGTCAGAAGGACCATTGTATGGAGATGAATGTTAGAAAGACCGTAGTGGGTGGACAACAATGGTAAGAAAAAATGTTGTATGACGACAGAGGTCAGAATAATCATAGTCGGTAGAATGATAGAGGTTACAAGGACCATAATTGATGGGAGAACATGGTTATAAAGATCTTTATTTGGCGATTGAGGTTAGAATGATAATAGTTCGGGGCGCGATAGTGGTCAAATAGACCGTTGTTTGGCGACAAAGGTCGAAAGGATCATAGTCGACATGCGATAATGGTCAGAAAGAATGTTGTCTAGCGACAGAGGTTGGAAGTATCATAGTCGGTGGGCGACGGTAGTTATAAAGATCATTTTTTGGAGATGGAGGTCGGAAGGACCGTAGTCAATGTGCATCGGAGGTTATAAAGACTATAGCAAAGCGATGGTGGTCGGAAAGATCGTAATTAATGGACGATATTTGTTAAAAAGACTGTAATCGAGCAACTGAGGTCAGAAATATCTTATTTAGGTGAAAGTGATCGCAATGACCGTAATGGGGCAATGGAGGTCAGAAGGATCGTAGTTGGAAAGTGATGGAGGTCAAGAAGACCATAGTTGATGACGTTGGTCAGGAGAAAATTCAGCAACAATCGGTGACCGAGCTTAAGTCTGGCGACACTTGATGGTCGGATGGAAGTCCAACGAAAGTTTGACAATAATTGGTGGCCTAGGCAGCGGTCGAGGATGAGATTGGTGGCAAAAGAGATCTCAAAATTCTCATCCTCTATTTTATTCTTTCCCTTCATCCTCTTTCTCCTTCCTTGCTTTGTCCTCCTTCATTTGCTCTCCCATTCCTCAATGAAGCATGAGGAGTCTATTTATAATTTTTTGGGAGTAATATGAACACTGAATAAGGTGAAAGATCAAGACCACATTTTGATTGATTCGAATGGACAACTGATATCAATTCCCTTAATTATGATATGTTTATTGAGTATTTAAACGACTTAATAATGCCAGATTTCAATGATCCTGGGCTCATTGGATTCATCTCTTCGAGCCTCTTAATTCGACTTTAAGCATGTCACGTTTGGAAATCGTTTAGTAACCCAATTTATGATTTGAACATTTTAAATGCACTTTGGGTCTTCAATTTGGACCCATTTTGAACTCTAATTGGGTTGAATTTGGTGTCGTTGGGTTTGTATTTTTGAGACGTTTAGTTCAATTATAAGTTTATTGAAATCAGAGTTCAAATGATTCAAGATTTAATTTTTTAAATTGTCAACTTGAGTTTGCCTCGATATTCGTGACCGATCAATATAAATATTTGATGACATATAAAAACAAATTCTTTTTGATAAATTAATTTAAAATATTAAATTTTAGTAGTTTTGACTATTCAATTTAAATAATAAGTATATTAAATTCAAACATTCTAGTTATGATAATAAATTAAATTTAATTAAAAATTATATTTCTTGTTGCATGCTAGAATATACACGGCGGTAGAGTTTGTAAATTCACATCCGAGCATTGTACGAGTATTCAGCACACAAATAGAAAAGAGAAATGAACACCAAAGTTTTTACGTGGAAAACCCCTAAAAAGGGGGGAAAACCACGAAGCCTAGCCAAGTTTGAATGAATCCACTAGTATTTTAGTCGATTACAAATGAGGCCCTTCATTGGGAGAAGGCCTTAGCTTGATGTACATTTTATAGCGTACATTACATGATATGAATACAAAGAATCACTATTGACATGTTCATTTGGTCGGGAGGACAGTAGTCGGCGGGCGACGGAGGTCGGACGGCTTGTAGTCGGTGGGCGATCTAAGTTAGGAGGACCGTAGTCGGCTGGCGACGGAGGTCAGAAGGACTGTAGTCGGCGGGCGATATAAGTCAGGAGGATCGTAGTCGGCGGGCGACGGAGGTCGGAAAGACTGTAGTTAGCGGGCGACAGAGGTCGGAAAGATTGCAGTCGGCGGGCGACATAAGTCAGGAGGACCGTAGTCGGTGAGGGACGGAGGTCGTAAAGACTGTAGTCGGTGGGCGACGTAAGTTAGGAGGATCGTAGTCGGCGGGCGACATAAGTCAGAAGGACAGTTGCCTTGCGAGGGAGATTGGAAGGACTGTGTGTGACGATGAAGGTCAGAATGACGGCGTTAGGTAGAAGTCCAACAATGGAAAGAAATCCATATTCGGATATACGTCCAACGAAAGTCTGATAACCGGTAGAAGTCCAGCATCGGGTAGAAACTTGGCGAAGAGTGAATGTCAGATGTCGGGTAGAAGTCCGACGTCTGTTGGTGGACGAGGAGAACTCCGACATCACTTGGACGGAGTTTCGGCGTCAGGAGGGAACTCTGTCGTTAATTGAGAAGAATTTTCGCATCCCATGGAAGTTGGGCAGAATTC